TAGTATCACTATATATATCCTTCTGAAGTTGTTCAATATGTCCGCTTGATATATCTGAACGAACTTTCTCAGATTGTGGACTAGATGTAGGTTTAGATATATCCTCTAATTCTCCAGTATCAACGTCGATTGTTTCTTCTAGATCAATTTGCTCAGATATACTGCTGGGACTTATAGTAATATCTCTGTCTTGGAGACTTTGTCTAGCTTGAGACGATGATTGTAAACTTTCTTCTCGATCATGCAATGATAATTCTTCGTCTTTTGTTATCTCTTCACTAATACTATCTCTAGTGTATCCTTTCTCGAATAATTCTTCTTGTAAGGACGTCTTCGATAGTGTTGTTTCTGGATGATCCAATTGTTCATCTTTCTGCATAATACTTTCAAACTTTTTTATTAAATTATCTGCCAGTTTTTCGTGATCAGTATCGCTGCTCTCAGAAATCAATTGATCTAAATATTCTTTACTCAACATCTGTGGTTTCAATCCTGATGATCTTCTCTCAATCTCACTTTCAATCGATTGTATTAGATCTTCTGCTATATTTCTCGCCTCTATTTCTTTGGCGATTAATCGTTCTTGCTTCTCTAAAGATATTAAAGGTTCTTCTTTGCTCGGAAATTGTTCATCTTCTTTAGTCTTTTCAGTTGAATCCATCTTGTCTCTTTGACTAGGTATAAACTGTTCGACTTTAAATTTCTCCAAACTCTCTTTGTAAGACTGTCCTTGCGCGATCGTTTCAACTTTTTCCAAGTCTAATCCTTCAACTTTAGCTGTTTTAGGCAATTCTTTAATGTCTTCTACTTCTTTCGCATCGTCCCTCTTGATTCTAATCGCAACATCCACGTCGCTTTTCCTATCTCTACTAATTCCAGATTTTTCCATCGCAGTTCCCTCACTGTCCTCCAGTAGTTTAAATAATTCTTCCTTTGTACTCTTCGCTTTAGATTCAGAAGCGCTTGCGTCTATCACTTTTTTACCTTCCATCACATTCATCAACATCTTTTGCACAGCAGTTTTATCCATCTCCTCACTCTTGCTCTTCTTTTCTTCTATTATTTCAGCCGGTGACTCCTTAGTCAGCTTAGACTCTGAAGATTCTTTCCGTTCTACTTTTTCCTTTTCCTCATGAGTTATAAATTTATCTGCACCACTGGAGATCTCTGATGAAAGTACCTCTTTCTTCTCCACTTTACTAGTAGCCTTGGTATCAATCTTTGAAGTAATTGTATCAAAATCCTTGTCTCTCATTGCACTTACATTCTCAAACATCTTAAACGCATCCTGCGCGTCGGTGAAGGTCTTGGAAAAAGTTTGCATCTTGCTCTTCGTGGTCAAGCGTTCTTCATGCCGCGTAACCTCCTCACTAGATTTCCTCTCGGTGACAGTAACGGTTTCGCTATCTTTCTGTCCCGGCAAATCTTTTTTTATTTCTTCTTTCTCCTTTACTGTCGCTCCTTCCGTGATACGTTTGGGTATACGAGATTCAAATTCTTTCTTCTTGGTAAATGTTGAAATATCCTTTTCTTTTTCCGTAGGAGAACTTTTTAGCGAACTTTTTTCCTCAGGTTTATCAAATGTTTTTCCTTTTCCTTCTTTCTGAAGGAAACTTTTATCCTTCTCAGCCATTGCTGTGGAGATCGGAATGCGAGATTCGAATTCTTTTTTTATCTGTTTGATCTCCGTGTCAGCGATGGATTTTATTTCCTTGTCAAAACTGTCAGCCATCGATTTCTTTTCTTTCATTTCCGCCTCTTCTTCGATGATTCGCCTCTCCTCTTCAAGGAATTGCTCGATTTCCGTTTTATCATCCAGAAGAAATGATTTAATTTTAATGTCCATTTGTTCTTTCTCAAATATTTTCGTTTCTTCACTAACTTCTTGAATTTGTTCAATCGGAGTATGTCCTACCTGTGTTTCCTCAGCGAGTTCTCTTTCCTTATTTAATAATTCCTTGCAAATCTCCATCACTGGCTGAGTTGTTATCTTTTGAATTTCCTCACATACTTCTTTATCGCTATCTTTTTCCTTTTCACCTTTCTCTTTCGTCCATTTATCACTCTCAATAGCAGCTTTCAAAATTTTCTCTATCTCTCTCGCTTCTGCTATGTGTTTCTCTTCGATATCAATTTTTTCCTTCGTCATTTCTACTATACTCTTTTCCACGTAACTCTTCTGATCGTCGATCAATTTACCTTTAAAATTGGATTTGTCTCTTTCAGACTTGGCGGAATCTTGCAGTCTTGGTGTACCCTTAGCCATCTCTTTTTGTATCTGCTCCTCAAAGTAATGGGCCTTCTCCGCCACAGAACACTCCGAGATATCCGGCACATTGATGTCCTCGATGGTCTCCGACCTTATGACGTCTGAGATGCCTTCAGTGGTCCCATCGCCCTCCTCTGACACGACATTCGGTGGACATGTCTCGCTGTCGCTTTCATTAATGGTCAATTGAGAGGTCCTTGAAATCTCTGATTCAGAACGTTGATAATTTTCGCGTTTCCTCGACATATCTTCCCAGAATTTACGCTTCTCCGAGTACGTTTGCCTTTCGAGATCAGGCGATAGATCCGGTTCGGACTGATCAGCGCCTACTTTATTGGGATAACTAGCATCTACTGATTCTAGGGGACAAGCCGCTTTTTGTGCAAAGGATTCGTGGATAGCGGCATCTAGAACAACCAAGAATTATGCTCACATTACATTTTATTAAGCATGTCGTTATATAATGACTGCGATACATCGTGTCTATTTTTTCTTTACAATTGTTTTTTTTATTCACAGCGAGATCTGGCGATCGAGAACTTCCGTAGCACAAATCCGTCATTTTTTTCTCACATTTTCTTTTCTTTCCTATAGTCATGGCAGGTACAAGATATACTAGAGCCGTTAAGATGCGTTAAAGCCGCAAAATGCAAAATAGTAGTCCATTAACTCGAATCTAAAGTTTATGCATAAATCTATAATCTTACTAATCTTACTAATATTATTAATAGGTAATTGTTTTTTTATGAAACTGTAATGTAACTCTTATTAATACATATATATCATCTTTTGGTTTATACTTTCCTAACTCTCTAAAAAAAAACATAATAATTCATATAATAAACGAACGGACTTGTTTTATATTCAACAGTTTTAATTTATTGTAAAATACAATTTACCAAGTTTTGAATATATATAACGATTATTTCTATTATATCTTTAAATTTATTATCTGCATGACATAATGCTAATTATAATTGTAACTGTCCAAAATATAATTCGCAAATAAGAAATAAATTTTTCTGTTGTTCTTGCACATACAACGACTTGATCTTAAAAACAATATTATTGCCAAGAAAAGAAAACATTTATTAAGTATTGCTGTATTAATTATTTATGTATGTACGTATTTACATATTATATCATATAATTATAATTATATATGTGTATATATGTACGTATTTAGTATATGTAGTGTATTTGTTTATATCGAAAAATTTCTTTAGACTGCGGAGACATACTCTTTTGCATTAATATCCCATACGGTTGTCTATGATAATGTTGAGGACGGCATTTCGGTCTGCAAGTATAACAAGTACACAAATATTGCGTTATTATCGATTCCATAATGAAAATATAAGAATTAATTTGTCGATAATCGTTTCGATAGGCATTATTATTGAATTTACAAATAAAACGATGTTCGCGATATTTTTTTATTATATCATAGCTGTTATAAGCGGACTTCCTTGAACTAATGCTATTTCGAGTAATATTTTAAACAATTTTTTCTTTCCAGAAATCAATTACAATGTGTAATTTTATTTTGCTTAAATTATTATGTTTATTCCACTAAGAAATTATTAAGTTTTTAAAGAATTTTTAAAATTAAATTTTAAAGGCACGGTGCAAAAAGGAAAATGTATAAGAATTTGTGATAAACTACATATGTATAGTGCTCATGATTGATGTCCAAAAAATAATGTTTATGCATATATAAATTTCTTACTTCAAAAATGATACAACTAAAATAATTAAGTTTTTCAAAAAAGAGAAAAAAACTATTTTTTAATTTAATAAGAAATTAATAATTAGTGACTAATCACATAATTAATAGAAAATTAATAATTAATCAAATAATATCGACATAAAGAATATATTTAACATGATCAAATATCATTTTTATCATTTTTATTCCAACTTTTATTAAAAAATCATCTTTCTTGAGTTGTGAAGATTTTGACTATTTTTTATGAAGTTAATTTTGATAGTTGATAATATCCTAAGCAGTAAATTAACGTTGTTTGCCGTCAGTTTCACATCAAAGTGACGTTGTTAATGGCCTTTTTGATGTCAAAAGAACGTCAGCTTTGGAGTTTATTTAACTCATTCAAAATAACAATTTAAAAAATCATGTTTTTTTAGTTGTATCACTTTTGAAGTAAAAGAGAGATGTAATATCTAATATCAACATATTTATTCTAAAAATGTTAAATTTAATATTCTTAATTTAATTTAAGCACATAAAATCAGATATTCTACATATTTACACATCTTATTTTTAGATATTTTTCCTTTATTTCCTTTATCATTTCCTACGATATATTTATATTTAATAAATATAAGAATTATTTTGTGGACATTTTTATAGAAAAGGACAAAGAGAGAAATTTTTTGAAAATTAAATAATTTTTAGAAATCGTTAGATATTTGATATAAAGAACCACATTTCATATAATTTATTAATAAACTTTGCGTCATTTAATTATATTTTCATGATTATTTTAGAATATTTTAATATATTTTAATATATTTGCCTTGTTCAAAGCTCTGATAGAAAGATTCCAAAATTCTACTTATCTCTCAGATAAGATCTTGAAATTGAATCAAGATTTCATATATTTATATAAGATGTTACGCAATTTGTATTGCATCAATTATAAAAATATCAGATCCTATTAAATAGTGACTTTATCCAATCATCATCGATCAAAAACTTCTTATACTCTTGTTATTTATAATAATGTTATCCTAGTATTTATGATAATGCTACAGTAATTCTTGTTAAGCATAATCAAAAAGATCATGGAAATTGCTCTTGGTCTTCATTCCAAGAACTGTACTATTTCGCATGCCTCAAATAATTTTTCTTAATCCATCTTTTCTTTCATCTTTTTATTTAATCAACATCTTCGACATCAGTATGGCAATCGCTGATAGTCTCTTCAGCGGCATCCGGAACGTATAGGTTGTTTTCCGTTTTGTTGGTCATAACAATCTGTGATGCGGCCAAGATATCGAAATTTTCATACACGTGATTGTAAGCAGCTGCTTCATCTATCTTAGATTCATCTTCGGACCCTTCCATGTCTTCACTATCGGTGTTTGGCATATCCGGTACGTTCTTAGTATCCTCTTTATCGATGGAAACCTCTTCTCGCGATAAACGGTTTCGCACTTCTACAGAGAACGGTCCATCGCCTTCCTTGGTCATGATCATTTCACCGCCAAATTCAATCAGGATGTCCGATCTCGGAGTAACATAAATTGTCGGTTGAATATCCTCGTCGCCCTCCATGTCTTCTAAATCTGTTTCCCCTTGATCATCGTTATCAATTACGTTTAAGTTGCTAATATCTTTCTCATCGACCTCGTCGCTATAGATCTCATCGACGTCGGTGAGATTTTCCGCGAAGCTGCTACGACGTGATCGGGATCTGGCTTCACCGTCGGCTATAAGATAATCTAAATCGTCATTGATCTTCATGTCAGACTCGATGATCTCTGCATTGGTCACAGAGATTAACGGATTCGCTTGCGAAGTTTGCGAAGAGTTAAGTTTGTCGATTTTGCTGGTGATCATCGTTAACTCGCCTTCAGAATCTGTGTCGGAGAAGTGCAACGATGCGTTACTCATCATAGCATTCAAGCGTCTTCTGGCAGATCTGGATTTCCGTTTGATCTTCGTTCCAGAGGAACATTCTTTGTCATTAACTTGACTGTCCTGCTTCATCATGATGCGATCGTGCTCATTGATTTTCATTTTTGTCGCCATGTCTACTTAGTTTCTTATGTGTTTAACGTCCCGATCATAAGTGCAAACTACTAATGAACTTAAAAATATCTGAAACTGAAAATAATGAGAAAAAAAATTAACTTTAAAGAAAACACAAAATAAAATTTTAAATAAATTATTCAAAACTAAACGGAAAATATAATTAAAAATGCAAAAATGAAATAAGCTTATAATTAGTAAAAATCTATTTTAAATATGATCTTGTATTTAAAACAGATATTATAATTTATAAATTTATCTCAATTTTGCATCAAACTCTTCGACTTTAATGAGAACATTAATAAAAGAAAAAGAGGAAGTTATTAAAAATGAACAAATTCATGATAAAACTAAAAAGACTCACGTTTTAATAATTATATGTGGACGCTTGAAAGAAAGATAGATATGAAATTTGCACCGTTCTCTTCATCGATACAGACAGAACTAAAGAAGTCCGCCACCGGCACTTTCAAGCATTTGTTGATGCTATTACGTCTAATTAAGTTAAGGAAGCCTCACTCAACTCTTAAACCGTAAGCCGATTAGCTTTCTCCCCTTAAATTATAAAATAGAATGACAATCGAATTTCATCATTTTCAAGTCCAGACGAAACGATATTCGACAAGGACTTTTTCTCGACCTTTTTAAAACATTTCCTTTTTTCATGTTGCACTTTGCTTACGAACGACCTACATCGCCAGACCTTTCTTAATTCACTTATCAGTGAATACGATATAAAATATCTTCACGTAATAAAATATTCATCGACAACACTTAATGCTTCATTACGCAAGTTCTCTTTTTGCACCTTGCATTTTTAGTGTTATAGACGAAATCGATTTTGAAGTTGAACTTTTTCAATTGAAATAATTTAATATATGCGACCCATTATTTTGGAATATTTATATTCGACTTATATATTAATGTGTCAAGTATATTCTATTTTCTACATTTTTTTATATCATACCTGTTTGTTCCTTTTGTAATGTATCTGTTATGAATTTCTTTTCTGTTGGTGAGAAAGTTTCTTTGGGTTTATCAGTTTTTTCCATTTGTTCCATTTTGTACTTTGATTTATAGTAATCTAATTTTTGATTTATAACATTAGAATCTTCGTAACCTGCAATATATAATAATCAAGATATTATTAATAATAATTATACACAATTATTATTAATAATACATGCATAAAGATATTGCTTATAAATCTTTAATTTAATTTTGATTTAAGATCCTTTAATAAATTTTAATTTT